GAAAAGATACTTTACACATGGAACGAAGTTAAGGATCTTGAGATGGAAAATGGCTCTGGAGTATCCGGGCGGTCCCTCCATGTAATCTCAGTGTTCTTATGAGAGAGAAAGAGGCAGAGGGAGGCTGGACTGTAGGACTGTGGACGTAGTCATGAGAGCAGGAGAGAGCTTCTGCTCTTTATAGTACACTGTTAAGAGAATGCAAAGACAAGCCACAGACTGGGAGAAAAGATTCACAAATCACACAACTTATAAAGGACTTATACACAGAATATATAAAGACTGCCCTCTCAAAACTCAATAATAAGAAAATGACTCAACTTTTAAAATGGCTAAACAATTTAAGCAGATATCACATAAGATACATAGATGGCAAATAAACACATGTAAAGATGTTCAACATCATTAGTCATTAGGGAAATGCAAATTAAAGCCACAGTGAGATACCATTTCAATGTCTTAAGAAAAAGGGGGGTGCTGACAGGGATATGGAGCAATTGTAACCCTCATATATTGTGGATGTGGATACAAAATCATTCACTCACTCTGAAAAACTGTTCTATAGTTTCTCGTAAAGTTAAACTTACAATTACCATTTAACCCACCAGTCCCATTAACAGGTAGTGATCCAAGTGAAATGAATATCTGTATTCACAAAAAAAACTGTATGTGAATGTTTATAGTGGCTCTATTGTAATCACCAAAACTTTATAAGTTTTAAACAGATTAGAATTTGAACTATGATCCATTTTGAGTTAATTTTTGTATAGGGTGCAAGTTGTGAATTGAAGTTCACAGTTTGCATCTGGATATTCATTTGTTCCAGCTCTATTTGTTTGTTTTAATTATTTTTCTTTTCTTTCTTTTTTTTTTTTTTGGCCATGGGGCTTGCAGGATCTTAGTTCCCCGACTAGGGATTGAACCCGGGCCCTTGGCAGTGAAAGCGTGGGGTTCTAACCACTGGACCTCCAGGGAATTCCCTCCAGCTCTATTTGTTGAAATGACTATTCTTTCTCTATTCAATTGTCTTTGTAACTTTCTCAAAATCATTTGACCATACACACGTAAGTCTATTTCTGGCCTCTCTGATCTGTTGCATTGATCAATAGGCCTATCTTTTCTCCACTCCCACCCTGTCCTGAGTGTGGTATCTTTACAATAAGTCTGGAAATTAGGTAGTGAGACTCTTTCAACTTTCTTCTTCAAAACTGATTTAGCTATTTTAGTTCCTTTGCAATTTGTACCTAAAAAATCTTCTGGGAGTTTGATTGGCACTGTGTAGTAATAGAATTGTAGCTACATTTTCCAGCTTCATTTGTACTGTGTGTCCATATGACCATGTTCTTGTCAATAAAATGTGAGTGAAAGGAATAGTGAACTTGGGGTCTTAACCACAGTGTGAGCCTCCTCCACACTCTTT